TGGATGGGATGCTTAGCTTGATATCTGGCTTCTGGGAACTGAACTTTGGTTTTCACGATTGGGAAAAAAATGCTTTTAATCATTGAGCCACCACTCCAGGCCCCTCTTATTATTTTAACTTAAAAACTACTTGCAATATTTGCAAGCAACACAGACCCCCCTTTTTCAGGGGGAGATAAACAGCATTAACAGTTGTGTTGTTATAAAATACTACTCCCCCCATTTAAATCTACATTAATTGTAAGAGTGTGTTTGAAAGCAAAAATGGGATTAGTTTTAACATTTTGTTCTGTAACTTTCTTTTTCTCAATGGGATCATGAGTCTGTTAGGGAGCTGTGTGATCCAAGCTTGGGTTAAGTTGCTTATGTATCGTTGACAGTGGGCCATTTGGTCAGTCAGCATCTATTAAGAATAGGTGTGCTCTTTAATGTTCCCATCGAGAGCAGATGCTTCAGAGAGGACCGGAGGGGAAGCCCCAGGCACCTGAACCTTCCCAGGAGCTTTGGAGCTTTATTTTGCAGGCTCGTTTCATTTTTAGGTATTGTGTTTACTGTTGGCTTTGTGGCCCTCAGGGTGGCTCACAGCCCAGTCTGATGGACATGGTGTAGCTGCCCACTGTGGGAAGTATGTGGAGGAATGTCAGAGTTCAGGGAGGGCTGGTAGGGAATGGTTCAACAATGGAGAAGGGCCATCTCACTTTTGGATGAATTAATATATAAGGTCTTTTTCATGAAAATTATGGCCATTAGGGAACGCCCTTTAGGATCCATTGGCCAATGAAAGTCATTGTTTACCATCTCCTGTCCCAAATGCTATTGCCCAAATAGTTTCCATGGAAATGAGGGTCAGGAAGCCAAGTGGGCCTGTTTTGTTTTGGAGCGCGTAGGTTGAGGGCACAGTGATACTATCTAGATAGTAATAAAAATACTTTAACAGGGCTGGGGAGGTGACTCAGCCAGTAAAGCGCTTGCTGAGCACGTGTGAGGACCTGAGTCTGGATCCTTAGAGCCCACGTAAGAACTGTAACCTGTCCGCACACCTGCAAAGAGATGCGGGTAGAGGCAGGAGAATCCCCAGAAACTCACGGGTCTACTAGTCCGCTGTGTGCAACAGTAAACAGCCAAGATGCTCTGCCTCAAATGTGGTAGCCAGGGCTGAATCCGAGGTTGTTCTCTGACAACTTCTTACTGTGGCATGTGTGTGTTCATACTTTCAAACATAAATGTGTGTGTGTGTATGTGGATGCACACACACACACACACACACATTTCATCTCATCTTACTCTTGAAATTCAGAGAATAAATTTCCCAAGCCACTTAGCTAGTGGATATTGAAGCCTGTGTGCATGTATGCATTTGTGCATGTGAGTGTATATACATGTGTGTGCATCCCCATGTGTGTATGGAACGCAGTGCAGTAGAAACATGCCTCCTCTCTTCTGTCAACAGATAAGCCCTGGGTCAGATTCAGCCTGGCAGAAATGATCGCCAAGAACCACAGATGTGTATGGTCCACCTGGTGTGGCTTACACTTAATGTTTGTAAATGCCAGTCTGGTTTTAGCCGGGTGGAGTGGCCTGCAGTCAGAAGGTTGTTTTCCCTCCACAGGCGACACCCAGTTTTCCATTAGTGCTGTTGCCCATCCGGAAAGAGCTACCTAGTGGAATGGCTTGCTGTCCTCTTGGCCAACATATGAGCCTTGAAAGCTGGTTGTAAAGATGGCCAGGACAAAGGTAGTCCTGGATGTCAGGCCAGCTCCATCCCGAGGTCACTAGGAGATGAAGCTTTCCCAAAAGAAAGTAAGGATGGAAAGGTTCCTTGAAACTTTGTCATGTGTTTTATCAGCGAAGACAGTAGTTAACAAAACCCAGGGCTTTGTACATGCTAGGCAATGACTTTTGGGGTTTGTTTTTTAAGACTCACTGTGTAATCCTGGCTGGCCTTCAATTTGCTATGTAGACCAGGCTGGTCTTGAACTCACAAAGATCCCCCTGTCCCTATCTTCTGGGTGCTGGGATTGAAGGCATGTGCCATCATGCCTAGCATGGTAGTTTTTTGAGACAGGACCTCACTAAGTTGTTCAGGCTGGCTTTGAACTCATTTTGTCACCAAGCAGCTTTTATACTCCTGCCTCCACCTCCCACGTAGTTGAGGATAAGGACCAGCACTGCCAGGCCTGAATTAGATAAACATTTTAATGGTTATGAGGCTTCTCCTTGTGCATCTGTCTCTGAACTGCCCACTTTTATAAGTTTACCAATAATTTTGGATAAGAATTATCCCTGTGATTTCATTTTTATTGATTGACTCTGTAAGGAGACGATGTGGCTCAGTGGACAGAGCTTGCATAAGGCCCTGGGTTCCATTCCCAGCACATAAACCAGGCATGGTGGTGCATACCCCGTCAGACCTGCACTTGATAGGTGGAGGTAGGAAGATCTCAAGGTCAAGATTACCCTTAGCTACATAACAAGTTCCAGACCTACCTAGGATACATGAGACCCTGTCTCAGACAAAGCAAAGCAAGAGACTCTATACCCGTGGTTCTCAACTTGTGGCTCATGACCTCTTTGGTGAACCTCTATCTCCAAAAGTATTTACATGAGATTCATAACAGTAGCCAAATTACAGTTATGAAGTACAGTAAAAAACAATTTTATGGTTGGAGGCCACAACAGCATGAGGAACTGTCAAGAGGTCACAGCGTCAGGAAGGCAGAAAAGCACTGCCATATAGTTTCATAAGGCCATCTCGGAGGTACTAGGGGTGAGGGCGTACATTGAATTATAGTGGGGCACAGCTTAATGTATAATAGGTGCCAAGCAGCCTCCTGTGAGTCAGGCCCATGTGGTATTTCAGGATTGTGGTGGCAGACTGTGAAGACGAAGAACACAGGCCCTGCAGACTGGCCAGGTTCAAATCTTAGCTCCGCTGTCTCCTAGTGTCTCCATACAGCCTTGTCAGAGGTGACTTCCTAATCACTCAGTAAGCCTGGTAGGTAAGAGGACCTGTTCCGGAGGATTATGTTCAATATTAGATGGACTTAGGGTCACTTAGCTGGTACCTGGCACACCGCAAGCCCCGTGAATGCATGTCCCGTGGATGTTGTCGCGGTCTTGTTACTAGTACACGGGTCTATTTTTAGTCAGGAAAATGACTGCTTAGGATCCCTCGCTGTCACCAGGCTCTTGGAAAATCTCACAAGCTGTAGCTCTCCTCAGGGGATGCTTAAATGCTTCTTTTGTGCTTAAACTGAAGAGGCATAGTATAATTTAGACTTTCTCTCTCATTGGGTTGGCTTGGCTTTGCAGTACTGAGATTGAACCCAGTGTTCCTGCCTGTTAGACCAGAGTTTTCCCATCGAGCCACACCCCCGGTGCTGGCCTCTTGGAAACCTTTATTCATGTATGTATGTGCATATGTATGTGTGTGTATGTATGTATATATATATGTGTGTGTGTGTGTGTGTTATATTTTGTTTGTTTTTGAGGTAGGGTCTCACTGTGTTGGTCTGACTTTCCTGGGAACTTGCTATGTAGATCAGGCTGGCCTCGACCTCACAGAGATCTACCTGCCTCTGCCTTCTGAGTGCTGAGATCAAAGATGTATACCACTATTCCTGGCCTTTATTCCAAAATTACAGTGGACTTTGTCGACAGCCTTTGATAACCTGACAGAGCGCTTCAGAGGTCAGTGACAGGTGCTCATGGTATTGCTAAAGAAGCTGTCAGATGTTCATGCCTCGGCAATTACGCTTTGCTTCCCAGCCTCCCTTTTCTGTTAAAATCTCTTTGAACTTTCAGCAAACATGAGCAGCTTTGGCTTTCTTCGTTGTTGTCATCTTCTCCTCTTCCTCCTCTTCCTCCTCCTCCTCTTCCTCCTCCTCTTCCTCCTCCTCCTCCTTCTCTCTAAAGTACCTCAGACATTACATTTGTCACCTTAACTGTTCTTAGGTGTACAGGTTCATGGCTTTGCGTGCATTTACTGTGGCTCCCTGGCACTGCCAAGTCTCCCATCGTCTCAAACTGAAGTTCTATACCCGCTAAATGCTACCTCCCCACTCTCCATCTCCCTAACTCCTGGCAGCCCCTTCCACGCCCACTCTCGATGGGTGTGGCTGGTCTAGGTACGTCGTGTAGAAGGTTGTTTTGCTCTGATGTATTTGGCTTATTTCTGGTAGGGTGTTGTCATGGTTCACCCGTGCTGCGCTGTATCAGATCTACCTTCCCTTTGAAAGCTGAGTAGCATTCTGTTGTGTGTATATATTTGGTTCCGCCACCTGACAGTGGACGTTTAAGTCACTTCTGCCTACTGTGAATATTGAATATGAATGTGATTAAAGAAACTTTATGAAAGTTGTGATCGGGTCGGTGAGATGGCTCAGCAAGGAAAGGCTCCTCGCCATGCAAGCCTGGCCTGAGTGTGATCTCCAGGACCCACAGAAAGGAAAAAGGACAGCACGGATCCCACAGAGTTGTCCTTTGCCCTGCCACCTGCGTGTTGTGGCCTACACACCCATGCACACACCCATGCACACACAACATGTAAAATAAAAACCTGTGATTAACATCTCCATATCTGTTGTAGAAAAGTTAAATGCCTAGGCTAGAAAAGTAGAAAATGCCTCTGACCCCATCACAGGGAGTCTCAGACTTTAGACAAGAGGTAACTGCATTATATAATTTGGCTTCTATCTCCCTAGTAAATTTTGGTTTTTATCTGTGAAATGAGATCATTTTAAGCATATTGTTATGAAATCTGAGCCATTTAAAAATGTTTGAAATCTCTGAAGGCATTTAATAGCTTCTTGTTTGAGTGACGGGCTGCTAGAGGACGCTGTTGGTGGGTACCTGTGCCAGGCCATGCTGGTCTCCTAGTCACCTTCCAGTGTGCCCATCGCTGTGGAATAGGCAGAGAGAGAGAGAGAGAGAGAGCCCAGGGCCTCTGGCTCCTTCTGACCCTGACTCATCCTAACTGGACTGTCCTCCACCTCTTTTAGGCAAACGTCTGCAGACTACGGCTGACCGTGCCTCCTGAGAGTCCAGCACCCCAGCAAACAGAAAAGAAGATTGAGAGGAAAGATCAGGTGAGTCTTCTCGGAGGCCAGGGCCTGTGGCTGGTCTATGTTATTGTGTTTTCCCTGCTCACCAAAGCTGTTCCCCGAGCTATCCATTGGCCGCTGCTGAAGAAAAGGCCCTCAGCCTTCCACCCTGCTTTCCCAGCTGCCTCTGCAGCCTTGTGCCCAGCCCTTGTTTCCTGGGAAACACGGTGGCTCTGGGTAACGTCCCAGCTGTGGGCACACTGGACTTAGTGTCAGGTGCTGTGGCAGGGAAGATGGTATTTCCTGGAATGGCCCGTGCGGTGGAGTCAAAGGGCCTTTTGTAAGTTGCTGGAACAGGAGCTCCAGGATGGAAGGCTGGCTCTGGCTGGCAGGAAGAGCCCAGCAGGCAGCTGAGCATGGTCTTGGCTGGATACAAAAGGAAACCTACAAACACTTCTGTGTCACTTCTGAAGTGAGTGCTGGTACCATGCAGATAACCATGGCCCTACCTTTACTTTAGAAGGACTTGCAGTTTTTCAGGTGGGACAGGTGTATACACAAACAATGGTCATGTCATGTCCCATGTGTTCCTATCTGGGAACATAGAGGTGGTGCTAAGTGACTCTGGCAGGTGGCAGAAGTGTGGCTTAACAAATAAATGGGAGGGCCTGCTTAGCGCTCCACCTGTGTTCCAGGTGATGCCATTTTCTCATTCCTAAGCCGTGACTGGCACCTGCTAAATTTCAACCACTAGGACTCCAGTAGTGAACATACCAGTAAACAAGGCAATGGCTGTCACTCACGGAGCTGATATGCTAGTTGGGTGGGAATGAAAGCAAACAAAATAATGATGTACTTTCTGGAGAGACAGCGTCAGAGAAAGGGATAGGCACGCCAGACACTAGGCAGTCCTTCTTCTGGTGGGTGTTTTATATGAACATAAAATGAAATAATAGGTTATAAATTTCATGGGTAGAATTATGAGATTATAACTTCTTGAAATGCAAGCTTCACTTTCGAGGTAACCAATACCGTAGTGAACCATGAATAAAGAAGCTTCCTGTAGACTAGTAGGAGGCTGCTAGTATCCCAGAGTTGTTGTGTGTATCCGTCTCTCCTGTCCTGTTGCGCTCTTCTCCTAACTTTGTGTGTATGTGTGTGTGTGTGTGTGTTCTTGTATGTTTGCATGTGCCTGTGGTGATCAGAGGCAGACATTGGGTGTCTACTTCAGTTGCTTTCCATCTTATTTCTTCTCTCTCTCTCTCTCTCTCTCTCTCTCAAAATTTTCAAATTTTATTTATGAGTGTTTTGTCTGCATGTGTGTGGGCAACACATGTGTGCCTGATGCCCTCAGAAGTCAGAAGAGGATGTTGGATTCCTTGGAACTGAAGTTATGGATGGTTGTGAGCCGCCATGTGGGTGTTGGGAACTACATCCAGGTCCTCTGCAAGAACAAGAGCACTTAAATGATGGAGCCATTTCTTCTAGCCTACTTGTTCGTTTTTCAGATAGGGTCTCTCTAAGTATTCCCGACTGTCCTGGAACTCAATGCAGGACAGCCTGGCCCTAAACTTATAGAGATCTGCCTGCCTCTGGCTCCTGAGTATGGATTACAGGTGTGCATTACCATGCCTGGCCTTACTTCTTGAGATGGAGTCTCTCTGAAGGCGGAGCTTACCAGTTTGCCATGGAGCTCTGGGGATTTGCCTCTCTTTTAATGTGGCTGCTGATCTGAGGTCCTCAAGATTGCACAGCAAGCCCTTTGCTAACTGAGACATCTTCGCAGCTCCCTCTTCTCACTTTCTACCAAAGTCAACAAGTTATCAGTGATGATGCAAAGGGCAGAGAGGCAGAGGAAGTAGGGGAAGGTGAAGTTATGGCCAGAAAGCCATGAGAGAATGTAAACTTTGACCTGCTTCAAAGGAGAGGAAGTGTCTCACCAACAGCACTGGGAAGAATGTTGGTTCCAGCAGGTGGAGTGGGGACAGGGGAAGGGCAAGGTAGACCTGGTTCTGGAAATCAGGCAGCACCAGTGAGGTACTGGCCAAGGCCCTAGGAGATGGTTTTATTTTATTTATTTTTTTATTAAAGATTTGTTTATTTTTATCTTGTGTGTTTTGCCTATATGTGCATCTGTGTACCACTTGCATTTAGTATCCATGGAGGCCAGAAGAAGGCATTAGATCCCTGGAACTAGAGTTTCAGATGGTTGTGAGTTGCCATGTAGGAGTTGGGAATCTAACCTGGTCCTCTGGAAGAGCAAAAGTTGCTTTTAACCCCTGAGCCTCTCTCCAACCCTGATAACTCTTTCTGGTTAAATTGTTTGGTGTTCAACACCAAAAAGATTAAGATCAGTACAAATTAAATAGCCCTATTTTTCCCTGTTTTTCTTTTTCTTGAGACTGGGTTTCTCTGTATAACAACCCTGACTATCCTCAGACTTACTCTGTAGACCAGGCTGGTTACAAACTCACAGAGATCCATCTGCTTCTGCCTCCCAAGTGCTAGGATTAAAGGTGTGTGCCAGCCAAATAGCCCCAACAATTAGCCTCATAAGGAGTTGGATTTTGGAACATTTTGGATTTTGGTGGATAGACATGCCTAACTGGTAACATCTGTACAAATGTCCCCAACCAAGTGTAAACAACTCCAACATCTGAGGTTCTTCTGGTCCTAAGCATTTTGAGATAAAGGACACTCAGCCTACCATGGATTATGATATATTGAATAATAACAAAACATCCAACACTAGTGATAACCTGAGAGGCATAGAGGGAAGGGAAGGGGAGCTTGTTCTAGAACACTAATTTAGAAAATCTGTTTTAGAATTTCCAGAGAGGCTCATCAGTGGCTGACAAACTAGTTAGTTGCACATTGTCACCGAGTAGGAGAAGTCACATGTAAAGTGTGGCCTGTAAAGGAGCCGTGGACCTTACAGTTGACTAAAATTTCAACCGGGGACCCAACCCAGCACTACCAGCAGATGACAACCCTCAGAGGACTTCCAAAGGGATGTGGTTAAAAAGTACATGCAAGCCCTGTGTAATCTCCAAGCTGAATTGTGTAACTGAATTAATAATAAGGAAACAGAAGGCTCCAAAATGCAGTCCCTTCTATAGAATGACTGGCCTGACTCCCTCTCCATGAATTTGATGGTATTAAAAACAAGATGAGCTTTTGTTGTTGGGAAGTTAGACAGAGTGGACCTTGGTTAGATCCTGAGCCGAAAACCTTGTAACAAACATGTTGATATACTTGCTGAATTTGGAATATGAGCCCTATAATAGTGAGTGAATGGATTTCATTTTTCTGCATATGAAATGTGATTGAAGAGTTCTTTCGGCTTCCCCAAGGCTATGAACACTCAGCAAAGGAAATGCTTGGTATCTGTATTCATTGCGTTTCTTTCATTGCTGTGGCGAACTGTGACAGATACAGCTTGAGGAAGGAAGCGTTTGCACTGGGCTAAGGGTTCAAGGGTACATCACGGTGTGGAGGCCATGGTGGCAGAGACCTGAGGCATCTGGTCACTCACAGTGCATCTGCAGTCAGGAAGCAGGGAGAGATGGAAGTGGCCCTTAGTTTGCTCCTCCCTTTTAATTTAGCCCATGGGACAGTGCCCACACAGTCAGGATGGGAATTCCTACCTCAGTTTACCCAATCTAGAGACTCCCTCACAGAAATACCTAGTACTTGATATCCTAGGCAGTTCTAGATCCTGTCAAGTTGATAATTAGTGTTAGCTGAAGCTCATAACAGTGAAAGAACAGGGCAGTGAGGCTTTAGCTACTAGACGCTTGTGATTACCAGGATTGAATGGGGCCCATTTGTTGGGGAGCATCCCTTTCTTCCCTTTTTGTCCTCGGTCTCTCTGTCCCTTTTAGAGCTGATGGCATCTGGGAAAGTTTGAGGAAGAAGGCCGGTCCAGAGTAGGTGATGGAACCAGGGCCATGGTGGCTGTGTCCATGTATGTGGTAGAGTCAGAGGGAATGAGATGTTTCTGGTAGCTACAATCAGGGAAGGTGCCCCGGAGTGGTTGTTCTCATAGAAGAACCAAACGCTCCCCTGGAAAGAGTTCGAATGCTTAGCTGTGGAGTTTGTACTCAAGTTGTATGCCTGCCCATCTTGTCTTGAAGAGTGCTTTCCAAATTAGTAAGCATCAGGCATTACTTTTATTTATGGAGGGGAAAAGTATCAAAAGTTAAAATGAAAATTAAAAATAGCTTTATGCAAGTTGCTAAAGACATTGATGATGTCATTTTCTCTGAGAGCATGTGCAGATTGCTATAACTTGCACTAGAACTCAAAGGAATATTTTTATGACAGATACTCATTCAATGGGAAACCATCTATTTGGGGAGAAAAAGGCCATGGCAGAATATATCCACTCTGTATTTCACCATGATAATTGCAACTCCATAATGATTACAATTAGATGAAAACGACATTTATACTCAGAGCAGTCAGCAGAGAGCTCTCTTTTCCAAGAGGCTCGTGGGGGTGGGGAGTGGAGGGGATTGGTGAGATGGCTCAGCTGGTAGACATCCGTCACTAAGCCTGACAACCTGAGTTTGATCCCGCGGTCATACATGGTAGAAAGAGACATCTGATTCTTCCAAGCTGCCCTTTTCCTTCCACATGTAAGCTAGAATGTGTGCAAAGCCACAATACAATAAATAAATATTTCAAAAGTTAAAGGAAGTGATAAATGACAAAAAGAAGCCAGATCCTACACCACTGAGAAGCCACAGAACAGCTCTAGACTTGAGGAGACAGGGCCCTTACTGGAAGATTTTATCAATAAAGGTGGAAGTCATACAAAGGAATGATCCTGCTTCCAAATTAAGTCACATAAAAGTGATAGAAGTTGTTGGACCGGGAAAGGGCACATCACTCCGTCAGTGGTGTCATTTCCAACCGCCTTAGTAATCAGAGTGAAAAATCTAAGTCTAGTCCCCAAACTAAGATCTGTCATCCACCCTGAGGCTAAGTACAGGCTTTTGGATTTATTTGCCTTTTTTTTTTCTTTTTTTCTGGGATAGACT